GCTTGCAAACCATCGCTACAGTGTAAGCGAACTACACATTTGAAATTATATTGTAATCATGTTTTATGCAAATCCAACGAATAGCAAATAAGGTAATATAATTACTTTTCTCTGATGCCGCCATATTGTTCTTTAAAGAAGTAACAAGTTATCGGTGTATTGCATTCCATTTATTTTATCTATTATGCTTAGAATATTGGATGGTTAATAGAATTAGTTAGGTTCTACTTTCAGAATCAACTGAATGTGCCAACTTTGCTTATTTTCCATGCTGTTTTATGGAAACTTTCAATGTTGAAAAGAACTTAAGCTGGGTGTTTGAATAGATGGGATAGCAACGACCCTGTAAGGAAATTATTTTTTTTTTAAATACACAAAGGATGATGAATTATGTGCGAAGCCATCGCAATCGGATTATTTTAGAAAAGCCTAACAATTTTCCAGTTTTTGAAATGTATACAATGTGTGTCGACGGGTGTGTGCCAATAGGTCGACAGGCTGACACGTAGCCGAAATGTTCATCTGAAATTTTCGGCCGTACACTTCTTTGGTCTTTATCGTATTGTCTGATGTTTTAAAATGAAATCAACCTTGTCATTATTTTATAAATTATCCGAATTATAATTACTTTTATTTCATTATTTTTCTTTTAATATCTTTTAATCGAAATATTTTTCTTTTAATATCTTTTAATCGAAATATTATTTTTATTTTAATATCTTTTAATCGAAATATTATTTTTCTTTTAATATTTTTTAATCGAAATATTATTTTTCTTTTAGTATCTTTTAATCGAAATATTATTTTCTTTAATATCTTTTTAATCGAAATATTATTTTTCTTTTAGTATCTTTTAATCGAAATATTATTTTTTTCTTTTAATATCTTTTAATCGAAATATTATTTTTTTTTTTTAGTATCTTTTAATCGAAATATTATTTTTCTTTTAATATCTTTTAATCGAAATATTATTTTTCTTTTAGTATCTTTTAATCGAAATATTATTTTTCTTTTAGTATCTTTTAATCGAAATATTATTTTTCTTTTAATATCTTTTAATCGAATTATTATTTTTCTTTTAGTATCTTTTAATCGAAATATTATTTTTCTTTTAATATCTTTTAATCGAAATATTATTTTACTTTTAGTATCTTTTAATCGAAATATTATTTTTCTTTTAATATCTTTTAATCGAAATATTATTTTACTTTTAATATCTTTTAATCGAAATATTATTTTTCTTTTAGTATCTTTTAATCGAAATATTATTTTTCTTTTAGTATCTTTTAATCGAAATATTATTTTTCTTTTAGTATCTTTTAATCGGAATATTATTTTTCTTTTAATATCTTTTAATCGAAATATTTCTGTCGGTGCATTCTACGACATTCCACCTGTGTGCGATTTATTCAGTAATTTTCATGGAAGATTTAACAGAACCCATGCACATTTTTACATTTTATTTACGTTCTGTTTTATGTGATTAATATTCACTAATGAATTAGGTGCATTAACAAGGAAGGAGATCATACAAAAAATAAATATTTGTCGTATAAAATAAATATTTTCTTCATCCCTTATTTCCCTATCTTTATGTATATTTATAATAATTTTAACCAAATACGGCACACAATCACAAGAGTATGGGGTTCCCAAAGAGGATAAAATTTACTATCAACGGCTTGCGAAAACAAGCTTTATTCCCCCGAGCGCAGGCTAAAAGTAGCTTTTTACTAAGTAAAGATTTTTGTATAAGCTTCTTAAAGGAAACGTTATTATTTCATGAATTTTTCGGCTTAGTATCTTCATTTTTTGGTTTTGATAACAACTTTTCGGTCGTACTGTTCCACGATCTTTCTTGTATTGTCTGTTTTTTCTAAAATGTGACATTGTCTTTATTTCTTAAATTATTCGAAGCAGAATTGTATCTCTTTTGTTTTGTTTTAATCGAATTTTTTCAGCCGATGAACTCTCCGTGCTGCATTCCATTCGCTAAACATCTTACGAGGTTTTTCAGAATAACCTTTAATAGGACTAATATAGTGATTGTTTTCAGAAATTATATATTGGCATTTTTTTGAGCAGGGCGAAGTTTTAGAGAAAATGGAAACAAAAAAGGACACTTATATTAACATCAGAAAGAGACACTTGAAATTTCTAGGACACATGGTGAGGAAAGAGGACTTAGAAAATTTAACACTTACAAGATATAATGAAGGCAGAGGGACAGAAGAAAACAGCGTACAGGCTACCTAACGAGCTTTTTCAAAGAACAGGTTTAAGGAGAGTAAAAGAAAAAATACTAACAGCTACAAATGACAGGAAATTGTGGAGAGCCATGATCGACAACGTCCTGAAAGGAGACCGGTACATAACAGTAGTAGTATCATCTACTTAACGATCTTGTGTAAATGCTTAACAGAACAGGGTTTAGGAGAGATAGCAAAAAGAAAAATTATTAACAGCTACAAACAACAGGAAATTGTGGAGAGCCATGATCGACAAGGTCCTGAAAGGAACACGGCACATAGGAGAATAGCATTACCTACCTAACGACCTTGTGTAAATGGTTGACAGAACAGAGTTTAGGAGAGATAGCAAAAAGACAAAATTTACTATGGGCTATGAAGGACAGGAAAATAGTGGAGACACATGATCGCTAACGTCCTGAAGGAAAACGACACAAAAAGAAAAATACTGGCGTAATACGTAAGAATATATCCATTTTGCCAATTAGATACGAGGTCAAGAAAAAAAATTGTTACATTACCCACAATAATTTAACGCTACAAGTTTAATTGATACATTTAATAAAGTAAAAAAATTTATAAATAAAAATGACAATAGGAAAACTAGTAATTGCTGACGCGTTTCGTCCAATGTGGACTTTATCAAAGCAAAATACGAAATGAATTTAATTGAACAAGGTAATTAATAAAAACAAAAAAATTATATTGTAATTAAAGAATTTTTATGACGACCGACAAAAGCTTTTAACTCGACAAAATGTTTCTCGCAACTAAATACAGTGGAACGTCGGTTCCACTGTATTTGGTTGCGAGAAATACATACATGAGACTTACACACATGATTAGTACTTTAGTGTTTCGGCCATGATTTCAAATCTCACCATATGCGATTAGTAAGGAGGCGACCCTCTTTCCACACACACACACACACACACACATACACACAGATATATATATATATATATATATATATATATATATATATATATATCCGACAATTATTTTTTAAGACAGTTTTATGTTTATACATTCTTTTTTATAGATACAAATATTTCAGTAAATGCTCGGTTTATAATAAACACTATTAACGTCATTCAGGCCGGTAAATGTTGTTAATACTATTTATTATAAACTGAGCATTTGTTTAAATATTTGTATCTATAAAAAAAGAATGTTTAAACATAAAACTTTTATATATAATATATATATATATATATATATATATATATATATATATATATAGTGAAACATCGGTTCACGAACGTCTAATATGTCGAAAAAATCTGTTTTCGAACAGAAAATTCGAAATGAAAATGTCTCGGTTATCGAACAAAATTTCAGTTCTCGAACAACATTGCCAAACCGAGTTAACCCGAACGGAATAATTGAGTCGACCGCCATGTTTTATCCGTTCGTGTGTTGCGTTGTGCTTTTTTTTCCCCCAATTTTATTGTACTTTTTTTCTCTACATTGATTCCTATTCGAAAAATAGTTTCGGTTTACGAACATTTCGGGTTACGAACGGCCTTCAGGAACAAATCGGATTCGTAAAGGGAGGTTCCACTGTATTATGTTATTGGTTCCCGCTTCCCTGGAGCTTAGACGATACCAATTGTATTTTATGTTTTCCGAATAGGTTGCCCCTGTTTATCTCTGGCACATTCAATTATTTGAGTACCTTACTCGATCTTGATATTGAGATAGAATTTTACATATGTTGATGGCTGATTTGCAAATCCTGGGCGTGATCTCGTGCTATCTCGTATTGCACGTGAGGGCACGTGAAACACAATATATCATATGAACATAATTCTAATTTATCTCGGCTTGGTGATAGTAAGAGACTAGGAGAAATGACGTCAGCAGTGGGAGTAATTGTAAAACAGTGATCCAGCTATCCACCAAGTTAGATATTTTCAACACTGATTTATTCATCCATGCTCTATATTGGGAGTCACCCGAGAATGTTTGAATATACGCTACACGCATGCGTCAGGACTGATCCATTTTCCCAGAAAAAGAAAAGGTTTCATTTAAAATGTATAACAACAAGAATTTTTTTTTTTCGATAAAAGACTCGAAAGGATCCAGCTTATGGTTTTAACTCAACAAAAATCAAATCCTTTCCTCCATTTTTCATAATTCTTTTTCCTTCAGGTCATTCTAACCTTCCAGTATCCCATTTTTCATCGATCAAGTATCTAAGTTCATAACCGGTTAAATTAACAAATATTTTTCATTATTTGTTTCTATTTCTCTTTGGTCATTTTTTGTTTGTTTTTCTTTCTTTTCTCTCTCTGTCTTTTCTTTCATCATTTTACCTTTCTAATTACTCCTGCTTTCTCATTCTCTATTTTTCTCTTCCATTCACTTTCCCTTGTCCTCTCTTTTGCGCTGTTAGTTTTCTTTCATTAGAATTTTTTTTTTTTTTTTTTTTTTTTTTGCAACAAGCTAACGTGTGTGGAAATCCTCACGGTATTGTTGAAATTATCGCTAGCATTTATGCCGAGATTTACAAACTGTACGTTTCGTTCAATTTCGCAAACCAATCATCTTTTTAAATTTTCATACATTTTTCCCAAAAAATTAATGAAAACTTATTGTACTAAGCTACGCACCCGAGTAGAACCAACTGTACTTTGTAACCCCTTAACTGTTTGCATTTCTCCCCTAAAGTTTCGATCGGTCAATGTATGGCTACTTTAGAGGGTGTGACGAACGGACGGACGGATGGACGGACTAAAGGAAGGCTCAGAATATGATAGATAGATAGATAGATATGAAAAATAATAGATAGATAGATAGATAGATAGATAGATAGATAGATATGAAAAATAATAGATAGATAGATAGATAGATAGATAGATAGATAGATAGATAGATATGAAAATAATAGATAGATAGATAGATAGATAGATAGATAGATAGATAGATAGATAGATATGAAAATAATAGATAGATAGATAGATAGATATGAAAAATAATGAATAGATAGATATGAAAAATAATGAATAGATAGATAGATATGAAAAATAGATAGATAGCTATGAAAAATAATAGATAGATAGATACATAGATAGATACTGAAGAGACTGTGAAAGAAAGAAAGAAGAAAGAAAGAAAGAAAGAAATAGGCCAAGACAGACATAGATAGATAGATAGATAGATAGATAGATATGAAAAATGATAGATAGATAGATATGAAAAATAATAGATAGATAGATAGATAGATATGAAAAATAATGAATAGATAGATATGAAAATAATGAATAGATAGATAGATAGATATGAAAAATGATAGATAGATAGATATGAAAAATAATAGATAGATAGATAGATAGATAGATAGATATGAAAAATAATGAATAGATAGATATGAAAATAATGAATAGATAGATAGATAGATAGATAATAGATGATAGATAGATAGATAGATAGATATGAAAAATAATAGATAGATATGAAAATAATGAATAGATAGATAGATATGAAAAAATAGATAGATAGATGAGCAGACATAGATAGATAGATAGATAGATAGATAGATATTCCTTTCTCTTCGTTTTATTTTCCCCACTTTCTTGTTTTCTCATTTTTTTTCTTTTCATTCTTCTCTCGCTTTTTGTCTTTTATTCCGCTTCCTTTTTCTGTCACTTTCTCTTTTCTTTTACCACTTTTTCTCATCGTTTTCCTCCTCTAACTCCACTTTTTTCTTTCCACCCATTCTTTCTTTCTCCCTTTTTCTGATTATTTTTCTCTCCCTCTCCTTCTCTCTCCCTCTCCTTCTCTCTCCTTCCTTTTTCCCTTTCTCCGCTTCTTTCTCCCTCCTCTCTCCCATTCTTTTCATCGTCTCTTCCTCTCTTCTCTCTCTCTTGCCCACCCTCCTTTCTCCTTCGTCTCTCCCTCTCTCTCCCTCCATTAGCTCCTCTCCCTCTCACTCACTCACTCCCTCTCTCTCCTTTCACTCTTCTCTCCCCCTCTCTCTCTCTCTCTACTCTCTCCCCATCTTTCTCCTTCCCTTTCTATCCATCTCCTTCTAAACAAAAATTTCTAGCGTTTCCCAAGAAAAAGTTCAATTTGCGAACAAAGATTTTGTTTTCATGATAGCTGCATGCGCTACTTGAAGACCAACTAAATATTTAATGACGTCTTATTAAACTTCATTTCTTCTTCTATGTTCTGCGTCCTTTCAAAACATAGGCGATCATGGCTCTCCACAACTTCCTACTCTCGTATGGATCTCGAAAAGGACCTCCAATCGATTGTGAACTGGGGCATGAATTGGCTGGTCAACTTCAACGCTTCGAAGACAAAACTGCTCTCTATTAATCACCAAAGAGATCCTTCCCTTCCCTCCATTAGAATGTCTGACGCTCAACTTCTCGCGAGCAACTCTCTGCGGCTTCTCGGTCTCACGTTGACTGCTGACCTGAGATGGAATAAATACATCGAGTCAATTGCCTCGTCCACTGCGAGGAAAGTTGGCTCCGTGAGCCGCACTAGGAAGTTTTTCTCCCCTGAGTCGATCCCCCAAATCTACAAATCCAAAATTCGCCCTTGCATGGAGTATTGCTGCCATATATGGTCTGGCGCCCCTTCTGTTTGCCTCGGGGTTCTTGATAGGCTCCAGAGGCGGATATGCAATATGGTTGGCCCTGCCCTGGCGTCTCGTCTACAGTCACTTTCTCACAGACGCGCCGTCGCCTCCCTCTGTCTGTTCTACAAATACTTTCATGGAAATTGCTCCAAGGAGCTGCATTCGCTGGTTCCCAGACGTCATGAGTTCCAGCGCCCTACGAGGCTGGCATCCCGCTCTCACCCCTTCACTGTCGAAACTCCTAAATGTAGCCGTCTCTTCTACTCTAATAGCTTCATGTCTCGCACCTCTCGCCTGTGGAACTCCCTTCCCTTCTCCTGTTTCCCTGTGAGCTATAATCTCCACATATTCAAGTGTAATGTCAATCGACATCTCCAGTTGCCTTAATCTATCCACTACCCTCATGCTAGATAGATAGATAGATAAATAGATATGAAAAATAATGAATAGATAGATAGATAGATATGTAAAATAATGAGTAGATAGATAGATAGATAGATAGATAGATAGATAGATAGATAGATAGATATGAAAAATAATGAATAGATAGATATGAAAAATAATGAATAGATAGATAGATAGATAGATAGATAGATAGATATGAAAAATAATGAATAGATAGATAGATATGAAAAATAATGTATAGATAGTTAATGAGCAGACATAGATAGATAGATAGATAGATAGATAGATAGATAGATAGATAGATAGATAGATAGATATGAAAAATAATAGATAGATAGATAGATAGATATGAAAAATAACGTATAGATAGTTAATGAGCAGACATAGATAGATAGATAGATAAAAAAATAATAGATAGATAGATAGATAGATAGATAGATAGATAGATAGATAGAAAGATAGAATAGATAGATAGATATGAAAAAAATAATAGATAGATAGATAGATATGAAAAATAGATGGATAGATAGATAGATAGATATGAAAAGGAATGTATAGATAGTTAATGAGCAGACATAGATAGATATGAAAAATAATAGATAGATAGATAGATATGAAAAATAATGAATAGATAGATAGATAGATAGATAGATAGATAGATAGATAGATAGATAGATAGATAGATAGATATGAAAAATAATGAATAGATAGATAGATAGATATCACTCCTATCTGATCTTGCTATTTTCTGTAACCCCTTGCGTCCTAGTGGCTTCCCGCCTTGCTTGGGGTGAAACGCTTAAAAAAAAAATCTTAGCAGGTTTTCTCCCTTTGCTAAGGCCCCCGTCCCCTATTCCACTATCCATTCACACGAGTCAGGTAACTCAGCCACTGAATTCCCCTTGACCTGAATATGCTTCATTTCATAAGGGTTACGTTTTCTAAGTCCTCCTCCCTCATTATGAGCCCAAGGAATTGCAGCTGTCTTTTCCTAATTTTGAGTATAAGTGTTCTTTCAGTTTCCATTATCTTTCAGACTTCCTTGTTACTTACACGCAACGTCCATCGAATATCCTTCTGTTAAAGCACATTTCGACTGCCTCCAGTTTTTTCCTCATCCCTGGAGAGATTATTTGGCATTCACTGCTATATAAGAGGATGGATATCGTATAGTAATCCAGCCCTCTTTGCTTTGTTTTTAACGAAACTTTTATCAGTACATATAATTATTATCTCCAAAATATTCTTACAATTTAAAAATATTTCCCGGCTTTAAATAACCTGCAAAAGGTTGATAAGCCGTCAAAAACCAATCAATCAAATGTACTTTGAAAAATATGAGTTTATGAAATTCGTGCTTTTGTAGTTGGAAATTTTTCTTCTTCTTCTTCCTCTTCTATGTGCCGCATCACTTCAGGACACAGACGATCATGGCTCTCCACAACTTTCTATCCCGTGTGGCTCTTAGCGATTTTTCTCCCTTTGATAAAGCTCCAGTCCCCCGATTCGTCATCCACTCACATAAACTTGTCAGAGTGACTCGACTTCCCCTATCTCGCTTTCCGTTGATATGCCCTGTGAGGGTTAAGTTTTCCAAGTCCTCTGTTCTCATTATGTGTCTAAGGAATTTCAGCTGTATTTTCTTGATTTTGAGTACAAGTGTTCTATCTGCTGCCATTTTCGTCCAAACTTCCTGTTGGGGCGCACCCACCTTCTAACTAGTAATGGACTGGTCCCTCTTATATAAGTCAGCTCTGGAGAGAGAGTGACAGAGCGTCAGAGAGAGAGTCAGCGTTAGCAGTCCAGATAAGCTTACCCGGTACATACCGTTGGACTATAGACTTTGGATATTGTTTCGTACTAACCAACCTTCGTTCTACTAATCACTCTATTGTTAATTGCTTTTATGAAGAAACCAGTATTTTCCTCTACAACTGTGTTTGTCTTGATTCATACACCGACACGCGGGAAACTCACAACATCTCAACACTTCCTTGTTGCTTACTCGACCCATCCATCAAATTTTCAGTATCCTTCTGTAGAACCACATTGTTGCTTCCAGCTTTGTATCTCACCCCTGTGGAGATTATCCAGCATTCACTGCTATGTAAGAGGGTGGATAACACATAGCAATCCAGCACTTTTCTTTCTTTTTTCTTTTTCTTTGTTGTTTTTTTTTTTGGTTTCTAGCGATTTTTTTCCGTTTTTCAGCACCTTGCTGAACTTTTGACCTCTTCTTAAACACTGCAAAATATACACAGCACTTTCGCATCGGCTTTGTCAAATAAAACAACTGCCTTTCTACATATTCTTGAAATGAATTGAATCTAAAGAGTTTCGTTTTTTATGCACAGCGAAAGATTTTTTGGTATATTTGACAGATTTTAACAACAGGCACGTGAATAACTAGTTTGCCAAAAAGTTAGTAAGTTGTGGGTGACTTATCGTTTTCGAGGTTGCATTTCTGCTCAAATGACTTTTTATGCTATTGCTCACTCAATATAAGACCCAAGAACCACTCAATGTAGAGGTTTACTGAATAAGGTTTTTTTTACGGTGGAGTAATGTATAGCGGCTCGGACTGTTATCGGAGAGCCGAGTTCGAATTCCAGTCAAATCCATTACATTCGCTTACGTGCTAATACCCTTGTGAAAGGTATGAATCTTCTTATCCTCCACCCCAGCCTTGGATTACAACTGGTCTACCGCAAAAAGAAACCTACTGCAGGAAAAAAATCTGCCTCGTCAGTCATGTATCGAAAGATACATGATCGCCTAAGCGTTTATAACGCATGGCACATAACTGACTGAAGATTGTCTCTGTGTACAGGTTGAATAAATAGTAATGACAAAAATGTACTTAATATCTATGCCAATAAGTTTTTTTTAGGAAAATAAGCAAAACTTGATTTGAGATTCAAATATATTAATTAATTTGGAACTCGGATATAACTTACTTTCGGTCATACTGCCCAGAATATGACAACATACGTAACCCTCCCACAAAAAAAAATAATATTTAATTCTCATATATTTACAACCTACTGCGGGAAAAATGGCAACCTACTGCGGGAAAAACTTATGCACAGTATTGGTAACACAAAACTGGTTCCAACAACACTAATGACAGAACTGCTTTCTGTACTTGTGTGATTTAAATGCTATTGGTCTCGGAATGGGAAAACCGAGTTCGAATCCCAGTCAAATCCATTACATTCACTTACGTGCTTATACCCTTGAGAAAGGTATGAATCTTCTTCTCCTTCCATCTACGGGTAATTAACAGGACAGACCGGGTTCTATAGCCTTGGATGGCAACTGGTCTATCGCAGAAAGAAATGGCAACCTACTGTTTTATAGTTTTCTTAAGATTGCCACTGTGTACTGGTTGAATAGTTTTGACAAAAATGTAATTAATATCTATGCAAATAAGTTGTTTGGGTTTTTTTTAGAAAAATAAGCAAATATTGATTTGAGATTCAAACTTTTTATTACATATTAATTAATTTGGAACTCGAATATAACTTACTTTCGGCCATACTTCCCCGAATATGACAACATACGTAACCCCCCCCCTCCAAAAAAAAACTAATATTTAATTCTCATGTATTTACACATTTGTATTATTATCCTCATCTTTGTTATTGTTATCATAACAGGTCATTATAACAACAAGGATGAAGACAATTAAATTCAGATAGAAATTAATTACCATGTATAATACGCAACTCTAATTTCAAATTTTAAAATCCAAAAAACTTGGCTCTCCGAGTACTCAATCCAAGCCGCTATCCATTACTCCCCCGAAAGCTCCAGTCGAATCCATTACATTCACTTACGTGCTAATACCCGTGGGAAAGGCATGAATCCTCTTCTTCTCTCTCAGAGATAGACCAGAAAGAAATGGCATCCTACTACGGGAAAAAACATCTGCCTCGTCAGTCATGTATCGAAAGATACATGATTGCCTAAGCGTGTATCAGCATGGCACATAACTGAGTGATGTGACGTAAAAGGAAGAACTTATTGCAGATTATGAGAACATGTACGGGAGATATCGCTAAACTTGGAGAGATTAAGATTGCAATGTTCAGGGAAGCATCCTCTCGGGAGTTTGTAAACAGTTCTGCGGAAGGAACTCTCTGAATGAAACTTCCTCTTTACCAATGGAATACGAAGCGAATGAGGATGATTCGATTCTGTGTACGTAGCTGTGAAGGTCTGGACTGGTGGAATTCAGAAATGTAACACGTCTGAACAACTGCCATGAAAATAGGGATAGAGTAATGAGAGGCTAACAACGTTTGTGGGAAAATATATTTGTAGGGTTGCATCACCGTTGCAAACGCCTGGCTCTGACATATTTGTGTTTGTTTAACACCCATAGCGCCAACCTGTGATTTATACTGTAACTATGCTTGGTAGAGGCATCGTGGAGTAATGGATAGCGGCTCGGATTGAGGAATCGGAGAGCTGGTTTCGAATTCCAGCCGAATCCATTACATTCACTTACGTGCTAATACCCTTTGGAAAGGTATGAATCTTCTTCTTCTCCCTCCAGCTATGGGTAAATAGCAGGACAGACTGGGTTCTATAGCAGTGGATGGCAACTGGTCTAGGAGAAGTACAGCTCTGAATTCAAAACATGCGGAGGGTTGTGTGAGGATCTTGTGACACGTAGTGCACCAGGTCTCTGTATTCGGCCCTTCAAAAATTGTGGTTGGTCCTGCACAAAGCCTTCACCACTATAATCAAATCATATGTGCTAATGTCTGTTCAACGGCGTACTATAGTTGTATCTACAATTACAAAGTCTTTACTACAACGAGCATTACAACATAACAGACATTCGTTGCCTGTTATATTTAATTAATATATATATATATATATATATATATATAGAGAGAGAGAGAGAGGGGGGGAGGTAGTATGGTGGCGTAGTCGATAGTTGTATCTACAATCACAAAGTCTTTACTACAACGAGATACAACATAATAGACATTCGTTGCCTGTTATATTTATATATATATATATATATATATATATATAGAGAGAGAGAGAGAGAGAGAGAGAGAGAAGAAAGAAAGAAAGAAAGAAAGAAAGAAAGAAAGAAAGGGGAGGAGATAGTATGGTGGCGTTGTCGATAGCGGCTCGGATTGATGAATCGGAGAACCGAGTTCGAATTCCAGTCGAATCCATTAGATTCACTTACGTGCTAATACACTTGAGAAAGGTATGAATTCTCTTCTTCTCTCCACAGCTATGGGTAAATAGCAGGACAGACCGGATTGGATGGCAACTGGTCTACCCTCCACCCCCAAAAAAAAGAAATAAAGAAATGGCAACCTACTGCGGGGAAAAATCTGCCTAGTCAGTAATGTATTGGCAATCATGTATCACACAGGGCACATAACTGACTGATGCTAAGTGGAACATCTGGGAGAGAGGGCGATTCTGACGTATATCAGTAACTGAACAAAGCCAGTTTGCACAATTACTTATGATTCCGTACTAACACCGAACTAGCTATCGACAGCTTCCCAAGAGTTACGTTCTACTGATCTCCCTCAAAAAGCTTGGGTCAAACCGTTGTATAATTTTCAGACACCTCATATTCTTGGATTGCTTCCCCTAGACCGATATTAGACCGACTTGAGTTTCGAATGATAAAAGTCTAACATCTCGTCTACGCATCCAGTATTTCTCCACCAAGCAACTCTTATCCAACAAACGAAACGGCGCGCTAGCCTCTCACTAAACTATCGCTATCGCCATGGCAAATGTTCAAATGAATTACATTCTTTAGTGGCACCAGTTCAGGCCTTCACACCTACGAATCACCATGTCAGTTCACCATCAAACTGTCCCCATCCCCTTTTTTATTCCTTTGGTAAGGAGTAAGTTTCACTCAGACAGCGTCTTCTCCAGAACTATTACTTTACGGAATAGACTCGGGAAAAAAATATTCGCTTCGTATTCGATTATTCAGGAGGAAGTTTAATTCATATAGTTCCTTCCTCAGAACTGTTTACGTTGTATTATACTTCCGTGACAGCTACAATCTTGGCTTCTTCAAATCCAATGTCAACCGATATGTATCCAACACATCCCCATAATACACATTTCATAATTCCTCTTTTCCTTACTCTTACAATACTCTCATTCAGTAACCCTCTACTTTGAGTGTCTCTTGAGCCTTGTATTGAGTCAACTATCAATAAATTAAAAAGAGTCTCCAAACATCAGTATTTATATAATTAGCGAACGAAACTACAGTCATGGGACGCCAAATTACGATGCAATTCACTGATAATGTCTTCCAAGACCAAGCCACTAACGATTGCACAAGAACATTCGTTGCAGTCCTTTGATATTTTTGTAGATTCCAGAAGTTTTAAAATAGCACCTTAAAAATAAATCATTAAAATACTTTAGTTTATGACATATAATTAAGATGGAATACAAAGTGATATTTATGTTACGCTTCATACTGCATATTTCAAAAATTGACTGACTGCAGTTCTCGTCTGGTGTGTGTCTCACTGTAGATCACGCTTTGAACTCAGTAGCTTTCAGAGAAGGCAGATACAGTGTTGAACTGAATTAGTCGCCTAGCCACTGAGTGTGTACTCACGTAATCAGCCCAGCCGCACTTAGAATACACACGTAGGAAAGAGTCGTATAGCAGTTATATAAACAGTCACTCCATAGAGGGAAATAAAATATTCTTTCTTTGCACACGAGAATATAAGGACTACGTTTCAGATGAGGGTACCAAGGCAGCTCTCAAACACTGGAGTACGGAGTTAGATAAAATGAAATGTTACGTATAAGAGATTCAATCCTGATTTTTCATTGATCTGCACAATAAAAATTCATTACACTGATATATATATATGTGTGTGTGTGTGTGTGTGTGTGTGTGTGTGTGTGTGTGTGTGTGTGTGTGTGTGTATATTCCTGAGATGAGGCATTATCTACACTATTTACATTATTCGGACTACTGTCCTCATCTTTGTCGCAATTTTTTTTTGTCTCCATATTTTCGGTATATCGGGTCGTACCAATCCTTCAGTATCTGTCTATATTTCTGAGATGAGGTATTATGTACACTATTTACATTATTCGGACTATTATCCTCATCTTTGTCGCCATATTTATTACAACGTTTCAGCCGTTCAGTATCTATATTTCTGAGATGAGGTATAATGTACTATATTTAAATTATTCGGTTTATTGTCTTCATCTTTGTGCGACAAAGATGAGGACAATAGTCCGAATAATATATATATATATATATATGAACAAGTGGGAAAAGTCATCGTGTGACGCGTCTCGTCCGTTAGTTCATGCTCCTGTATAGTCGCGTGAACGTAAACAAACTTAGTCCGATGAAGTCCTAAGGAACGAAACCTGTCACACGAAAACTTTTCCCATTTTGTCATACATCTTTCCTCCAAAACTGTTCTTGATATATAAAGATTTATATTTCGTTATCCATATATATATATATATATATATATATATATATATATATATATATATATATATATATATATATATATGAATTTGCGTGTGTTTGGTATATGTATACAAATTCTGTGTACTGGGCAGCAATTTTAATTTATGTAATTTCAGTTAAAAAAAATAAGACACGCCTATTTATTAAGGACTTTTATTCATTCATTCTTTCATTCATTTTTATTCATTCATTTTTTTTATTCATTCATTTTTATTCATTCGTTTTTATTCGTTCATTTTTCTATGTTTCGGACAATTTTATTGGTTACTGCTACATATTTAAATTTTAATTGTCCTATGTAAGAGTATTTTCGACTTTCATACGGAATTTTGTGTTATGTCAGTTTCAAGCATGCGATAGATAGATAGATAGATAGATAGATAGATAGATAGATAGATAGATAGATAGATAGATAGATAGTTGAATTAACCAGCAAGATATTAAAAGGATAGATAGATGATAGATAGATAGATAGATAGATAGATAGATAGATAGATAGATAGATAGATAGATAGACACACACACACACACACACACACACACACATATATATATATATATATATATATATATATATATAAATCACACTTATGGTCCTCTTTACAGTTATATGATTAGGGATGTATTTGAGGACATCTTACATATTATCTAAGTACTTATTTAGGGATGTACTCGTCATTTATATACATATGTGTTTATGGATGCACACAGATAAATATGTGTGTATATGTATATATGCCTGGGTATATATGTATGTGTGAACACATTTATGTGAAAACACATATATGTAGATGAATGCGAATATATGTATGGATGTAGGTACATAATCGTATGTATGTATATATATATATATATATATGTGTGTGTGTGTGTGTGTGTGTGTGTGTGTGTGTGTGTGTGTGTGTCTAGATAAGGATGTGTATGTATGTAGATATATGAATTTGTGTATATTCTCTAGTTCTCTCTTCTTTTCTCCTCTTTCTTTATTTTTTTCCTTTTTCTTTGTTCCCCTCTTGAAAAATCACCAGCACTCCCTCCTTTTGTCCGGTGAATAAGAAGTCCAGTAGTACTATCTCAAGTTTTAGAGACATATCCCACAACTACCTTTTTCCTTCCCTTCCTACTTTTTGGAACTATTTTAAAACACAGCTTCCGTTAATTTTGTTTTTGTTTTTCATTTAATTCCTGCAAGAAGTTTTGAATCCATTCATTATTTTGAATCCGCCAGCTCTGAGAAAGCGAAATCGAATTCTCGAAATAAAATATTAGCATGGCTTTCTGAAATTTCCGATTTATTAATTAATTAACATTTGCTCTGTTATTACATTGAGCTCCCAGGATTTATATCCTCCCTGGAATTATCCATACGGATTACCAATTAACTTTATCATATTATAAGTATGTATTATAGTATATATATATATATATATATATATATATATATATATATATATATATATATATATATATATGAAATAGACAAAAGTCCGTCAATTATTTCAGACATTTTTTATGTTTATACGTTTTTTATAGATACAAATATTTAAATAAATGCTCTGTTTATAATAAACAGTATTAACAACATTTACCGGCCTGAATGTCCGAGAAATTTTCACAGAAAATATTCGTCCTCCGACAGGAACCGAACCTGTATCCTATACAGAACCGTCATATAGCTTGGCATATTTTTATAAAAAAGAACGTATAAACATAAAAAAATGTCTTAAATAATTGTCGGACTTTCATAATGTATGACGTCATTTGTTTACATTTGGATACGCATTGAGCAAATATGAATGAATGAGAGAAAACCTTGGAGAATTGTGTTTAAAAACAGTAAAATCGATCTTGCTAACCGAACGCTCCTCTGTATCCCAATCGGTTAAGGCACGCCAGGCTATATGACGGTTCCGTATAGGATACACTTTCGACGCATATTTTCTATGAAAATTTCTCGGACATTCAGACCGGTAAATGTTATTAATACATTTTATTATAAACAGAGCATTTACTTAAATATTTGAATCTATAAAAAGAACGTGTAAACATTAAAAAATGTCTTATATATATATATCATAAATAGTAATGTCAATATGAACTGTCACGTAAAGACGAGATTTTTTAAAGATCGCACATAATACACGAAAACTAGATGTCTGAAAAACGACGAAACCGACATAGTGCACAAAGCAAATACTCCTTGATAATGGCTTATGAAAGCAAAAAACATTCAGATACTGGACGATTTATATTAAAACTTTCACAGGAATTCGACAAAATGAACCGAAATATTGAAAAATAAAATAAACCTAAAAATCATCAGCAAAGAATTTTCATTGTTTTTTAAACATAGCTATATTAGCAGTGATTGAGTTCATAGGGTTAGCCAGTTTGTCTCACTGACCTTTAAGAATATCGCGATAAGGGTATACACTAGTTGTCAGATTGTAAATATAAATGGCTTCGTAGATATAATGACTTCTTTTATATGCCCTAAGTGATCATAGCTCTCCCTAATTTCCTATCTAGCCCTAATCAATGTTTGTCACATTACTATCACACATAATCTTGTTCTACCATCCATTTACACAGGGTTAGGTGTATTACTCACTATTTCTCTCGTCTCTTCTTGCCTTCAATATGCCTTGTAATAGTTAAATTCTCTAAAACCTTATTCGTTGTGTGTCACAGAAATTTCAATTGTCGTTTTCTTCTAATCACAAGTGGCTTTTTTTGCTCGAATTTTTCTAAAATTTCCTCGTCGTTCACATGCTATATTCATTGTATTCTCAGCATCCTTCTGTAGAACTATATCGCTGTTGCATCTTCGTCTGTGAGGAAACTGTTCATCATTTACTGCTATAGACAATGAGACAGAATTTCAGACTTGTTATTTTTGTTTCTAACAAAATTTTCCCGTTTCTTAATACTTTGATTAGTTTTTGGAAGGCGTTTTCCTCTATTTCAATACGCCTCCATTTTTCTGTGACACGCTCTCCATTGACATATTTAAATTTCTTGTTAGTCTCCAATTCTAGCTCGTGTCTTTGGTCGTCTATCTTGCTCACGGTCATATATTCTTTCTTACAATTGCTGTTTATTCCTTTCTTGTCCAATATTCACGACTGCATAGGATTTTTTAATCGCTTCACCCCAATCAAATCAATAAGACACAAGGGGATGGTGATTGTATAAGAATATGAGAAAAAGAAAATCATTATTAAGAATGGAAGACAAGAAATGAACAGGAATTAAGAAGACAGAAGATAACGATTGATATTGTATTTCAAGATTGCCTATTCTATAAAAGATCCAGTTGTCGATATTTATTTCTTTTTATTCTTTTTCTTTTTTTAAATCGGTATCGCCCCAAGCAAAGCAGCATGCAATGGGTTACGAGGTATGGAGGAATTAAGAACAGAAATATTAGTAATGAATAGAGAGAGAAAAGAGCAATCAGGAGGACAGTAGATAAGCGTTTGACATTGCATTTAAATTTTTGCAGATTAAACTTGGCTGGAAACCACGGAGCCGAAAGGGAGTTCCACAAGTGAGAAGTGCAAGACAAGACACTATCAACGTAGAAGTTACGGCTACATTTATCTAGCCCAACTATAAATTGATGAGATCTCCACGCCAGTCTGGTATTCCGCTTAAATTAAAAAAAAAGTTTAGGTACCATAGCGAAAAGCTCATCCGAACAATTACCATGAAAGTATTAGGTTGGTGCAAAATAATGAACGTCAAAAACGACATTATTACGTCATTATTTTTGCACCAACCTAATATTTATAAAAAAGGCACAGAGAGGCCAACTTGGGGTGGTAGGCAA